CTCCAAGGTCCTAAATGTTGGTTATCATAGTAAATATATTCTATTCTCTCAAAGAATATACTGTGATTATATTAGGATTATGAGTTCCACCTGCCAAACACATAAACAGAACAGGTAAAGCTAACAGGACACAGAATAAAATAAAAATCATAAACAATAAGATGTCTGCTAGTTCTTGTGCCTTAACTGGTTGGAGGTTCAGGGAAGATTTGAGGCAATAAATTAATGTCTTACAGGAATCCTTTTCTACGTTTTCCTCTGACCCTTACATTAGGACTACAAGTCCATATGATGACACATCCCATATTGAGTACACATAGTAATTGAGATTACAATCAACCACTATATTTGAGTGACTACGCAGGCTTGACTTTCTTATCACTGCCTTAGTTTCCTCATCTGGGCCTCAGGATCCTTATCCAAAAGGGAGTGAAATAATAGCATCTACTTCACATAATTATAAAAATTTAGTTAGTAACAAATATAAAGTTCTCAATGTCTGACATAATGTAAGTTCCATAGAAGAATAAAATATGATTCTCAATTGTTATCATGGTCCTGACAATGACTTTAATGACTCGGGACTTCACGTCTTCTTAAAAGACCTTCTAGCAAATAAGACTGCAGTTTTCCTGTCATAGATGGCAGAAACTTAACTTTAAATTTAAGTCAACATTAAATTGTAAAATGTACTCTTTCTTTATTGTGCCAAACTCAATCTGTTTAATGATCCCCAACTAACTGCTCTAAGTATAAACATTTGAATCACTGACTATGATGAAAAAAATGTATCACAGCCCATTCCTGGAGTTGTAAGTGGGGTCAACCTTAACTGAGCCAAAACATGTTCACGTCAAATTTCAAATATGTTTATGTATGCATTAGTACACTCCAATATTTGAATCAGTATCTGAGGGCTTACTATATATACAATGCATCTGTGCTGAATGCAGTGTTATGTTTCACTAGATAGTCTAACATTTATTAACCTATCAGATAATATGGATAAATACGTGTGTAAGTGTGTGTATATACATACTCACAGCGAAAATGTGTATGTGGAAAGAGAAGAATTTTTTTTTTTAATTTGAAGTTTTTATATAGTAGGGAAAATTACTTGAGTAGGTAAGAATTGGGATAATTTAAATTAAAGAATATTAAAGAACTTTGCAGTTTGGTACAATAAACTGACAAAAAAGTTTATGTGAGAATAGTGAGAATATAAACAAAACTACAATTTGTAGTATGTTTTAAAAGTAGTAGATAATGAAATTGAAGGAAAGATGGACGTCACAGTTAAGAGAAGAAAATTGGACTTGATTCCAAGAGGGGAGCCAAATAAATCCTTGAGTCTTCTACTGATATGGTGCAATCAGAATTTTGTAAGGATTGGTCTGGCTTAAATGGACAGAGACTGCAAAGGTAAAGGCAGTGGTTGCCAGATGGTTATAGTAATTTAGGATTGGGGGGTTAGAGCAGTTGACTGAAGTAGCGCAGTGGAACAAGCAGAAACAATCAAGGACAGGCTTTAATGGGAAGCTGAATTTAGAAGATGGAGGAAAAATATCCAGACAATTATTTTTCTGAGATTTTTAGTTTAGTATGTAAAAATTTATGGTAGTACTAATATAGAAGGGGGCAGGGAGAAAAAAGCTAATATTATACAGTGAACGCTAATTTTAATTGCTGAACTTGTGATTCTTGAAAGTTTAAAATGGAGAAATTTCAGCAAAAGCAGAGATTTATGTACATAGGAGATTATGTATATAGGAGTGAGGCCCATGTGAGAGGTCAAACTTAGAGCATCTCAATGAAATCCCCCGTATTTCATATATTTCAATGCCAAACCTAAAAATTACACTAGACTTCTGAATTTCAAATCAAGGAAAGCTCATTTAAAATATCTCCTTTTGTTAGGTCTCCTTTTACCAATTCTGCCACTTTTATTAATTCTACCAATTCTGCCAAAAAGAATAAAAATGCATCTACACAGAGTGATTCCAATGATTGGAACCCAACTTATTATTTAAATATAATTGTGTTGCCTTTATTTATGATTAAATTTGTTGTTTTGTACAAATCAATGGTACCTAAGCGTTTAAGCTATCCAAAATTTCTCTCTCGTAAATTGTTTTTAATTATTTAGGAAATAAAGCATGTAGTCTAATTTGTGGAATCAGGAAGTTTGCTTTGACTAAAATAAGAGAAAAATGAAGTTATAATCAATTTAATGTCTTCTGCTATCAGTAAAAAGCAAGAGGCACACATCTTACCTTATGCTAAATGCAAAACAGATGTTGTTCAGTGAATTTGACTCTGGACCGTTTTAATTTTTTACTTTTAAGACAACATTTAAAGATGCCAGATTGTTCTAATCACAAGTGTCAACCATTCATTAGCTTAATGGAAAAAGGTAACAGATTATATATATAATAGTCACCCAGGGAGAAGATATACATTTACAGCCCATAACACTTATGTAGATAGATTGTAGACATAATAATCTTCCACAGGAGAGAGAGAGGCAAACAATTACTCTAATGGAAAGCAGCAAAATGTGATTAACATTAAATGCTACCCAAAGACAGATATTTGTGGTGAGAATGACATAGAAGACAACTATATAACTTGGCCTTATCTTTTGGACAAAATAGGTAAGAAAAACAGATGTGGTGAGATGCCTCAGTTGAAGAACTATTGTAGATTTGCTTTTTATTTTTGAAGGAATCCAAAATATATTTTTCCTGGCATGGTAAATTGAGTTCCTAAAGTGGATTCCAAAAATAACTCAATTCTCTGTGAATATGGTGAGGTATAACTCCCATGATTGTATTAGCTTTTATGTCACAGTTGATGTTAAGATAGAGAGATTATATTCCTGGTCTTTAGTGTCTAATTACATGAGCTCTTAAAAGCAGAGAACTTTCTTCATCTGATGGCAGAAGTCAGAGAGATTTAAGGCATGAGAAAGACTAAATGTACAGTTGATGAACTGATGATTCAATGGGCCACGTTAAAAGAAATTTGGTAGCTTTAGGAACTGAGAACTTGGCTAAAAGCCAGCAAGCAAAGGCGAGCCTCAGTCATACCCTGCAGCGAACTAAATTATGCCAATAATGGAATGAACTTGAACAATTCTCCCGTGAGAATCCACATGACCAATAATTTGAGTTTGAACTTGTAAGACCCTGAACATAGAATCTAGGCAACCCCACCTCTAGACTTTAGACTTATAGAACTCTGAGTTTGAAAAAATAACCTTAGAGAAAAAATTATTGGTTTTATTAAAGCTCAAAAATCAAACATTAGCTATATGTTAAATGCCAACATTATGGACTTTTAAAAATCATTTTAAATATAAAATATGAATAGCCATGAATAAACAAAATGAAGATGTGCCATCATTCAAACTTAATTTAAAAGAGAGATGCTTAGGAAGAGTGCAGTAATATAGCCAAAATGCCATAATGGCATTTTTGGTCAATGACAGGCCACAATGATAGTGGTTCCATAAAATTATAATGGAGCTAAAAGATTCCTGTCACCTAATGACATTGTAGCTGTTGTCAGGTCATAGCACAATGCATTATATCCTGCTGCTCTGCCGGTCCTAGAAATGTCTAGCACATACAATTATGTGCAGCATATAATACTTGATAATTACAATAAACGACTATGTTACTGGCTTAGGTATTTACTATTTACTATTACTTTTATCATTATTTTAGTGTGTACCCCTTCTACTTAATAAACAAAAGAACTTCACCATAAAACACCCTTCGGCAGGACTTTCAGCACATGTTGCAGAAGAAGGCATTGTTATCATAGGTGACAGCTCTATGTGGATTATTGTCCCTGAAGACCTTCCAGTGAAGCAAAACGTGGAGGTGGAAGACAGTGATTTGAATGATCCTGACCCTGTACATACTTGTGTCTTCATTCTTAAAAAAATGTTTAAAAAGATATGTGTGTGTGTGTGTGTGTATATATATATATACACATTTTAAATAGGAAAAAGCTTATAGAATAAGGACATAAATAAAATATTTTGTACAGGTGTACAATGTGTTTGTGTTTCGAGCTCTTATTACAAAATAGTAAATAAGTTAAATCAAGTTTATAAAGTTAGACATTTATAGTGAGCTAAGGTTAATACATTATTGAAAAAAGAAACATTTTTTATACATTTACTGTAACCCAAAGGTACAGTGTTTATAAAGCCTACAGTAGTGCACAGTAATGTCCTAGACCTTCACATTCACTCAACACTCACTCGCTGACTCACCCAGAGCAGCTAGCAGTTCTGCAAGCTCTGTTCTTGGGGTCTATATGGCATAGCTTTTAAAAAAAATCTTTTATATTGTGTTTTTACTGTACCTTTTCTGCATTTAGATATGTTTAGATACACAAATACTTACCTTTATAATTGCCAACAGTATGCAGGACAGTAACATGCTGTATAGGTTTACAGCCTAGGAGTAATTATTGGTATTGCCATGTAGCCTAGGTGTGTAGTGGGCTCTACCATCGAGGTCTGTGTAAGTACACTCTGCGTTGTTTGCGCTGAGGCAAAAATCACCTTATGGTATGTTTTTTAGGCTGTATCCTTCTCATTAAGTAACACATGACTACATATATATCTTTATTTTGCATATTAAGTATTAAACTGAGAGACAGTATTTCAAAAAAATATATTTGACATATGTAGTCAGGTTTATCAATATATGATGAAATGCAATATGTGGCTAAATATAAATTCGGAGTTTATATTTTCTTTAAATTACCATCATATTATTTATTCAGTATCTAATCTATTTGCATTTACATATGAGAAAAAGAATTGTACTTTTCATCTACAGTTGCCTCATGCTAAGATTTCTCTTAATAAGGACTTAAATATTTAAGAAATATCCTCTTTATAAGGAAATAAATAAAAATAAAGGTCATTTTATTGCAAAAGTGATTAAAAGAAATAATAAATATTCATCTCTATTTTTAAGGGAGGCTGATCCCGGGTGCACTGTGGCAGGTGGCAGTATAGACTTTTGTGAAGCAGCGGTGTGCAGTGATATGAGCAGCAGATGAAGAAGGAAGGAAATGAAGTCGCTCAATTCTAATACGGCATTATTACTCCTATATTTGGAATCAACATGTGGAATTCCTAGGTGTGAGTAACTCATTGTGCTGTGCCCTCCTGCTCCTTTCTTTTCTGGTCACAGTGCATTTCCTGTATATTTTTGTCTCTCTCTTGTGATTATTTTGCCATTCATTTCTAGTCAAATGTGTCTCTCTCTCAAATTTGTGGAAAATAATAATTCCTTGATTTTCCTATCTCATTCTTTTACTATTTTTTTTTTTTTTACATTCTTTTTCTCCCGGTATTATGAAGCTTTTTGCATCTGTTGGGCTTATATTTTTTTCTATATGATTACACTGAGGAATACAAAATATCAACTCTGCCTATTTGTGCTAGGGTTACTTATTTTGATGGCTTTAATATTAAGTGACCATCATTTAAAATCATGATTCAAGAGTAATAAATGTGACTTGATCGTACAAATGAACCATGAAAATGATCCAGCATGATTTGCAGATGGCCAGATTGAAAACACTTTGAGTCATTAGAGTTGAAGCTTGTGAATAAAACAGGTAAGTTACTCTTCACTCGCTCTCTCCATTATCTTCATTTTTCTGTGTCTTCCTTCCATGATATTACAGTTAAGCAATTTCCAGTGAGATCACAAATCTGTTTCTAAATGCAAAATACTTTTTAAATTCCTTATCACATAACCTTTCAACATCTGATAATATTGGCCGTTCTCTCCTTAAATCAACCTTACCTCTGAATATCTTAGCTTGTGTTCTTCCTACTTTCTACAACATTTCTTGTCCATATTCCTATTTGTTCCTATCCTCTTCTTCCCAGGCATGAAATGTTGAAGTCCTCAAAGTTCTCTCATGGCTCTAATTTATTATTCTGTATTTTCCCTGTAGATGATCTTAGCTACCAATTATAAGCAGGTGACTACTCCTTATGTTTGCATAACAAATATAGACTTATCTCAATTTGTCTGTCAATTTACAATTTCCTTTTAGATGTCTGACAGCAGCTGAGACTTAATATGCCAGAAGCCAAGGTTTAAGACTTTATTCACTTGTTATTTATCTATTGCTATGCAACAAATTACCGCCAAACTGGGTGGATTAGTAGAAATCTTTATGTATTTATTTTCTTTCACAGTTTCCCTAGGTAAGACATTTGAAAATGGCCTGACTAGATTATTTTGGCTTGAGGACTCTCAGGGGATTCAGTCAGATTTTGTTCATTACTGCAACCATTTGAAGGCTTTACTGCAGATAGAGAATACTCTTTGAAAGTGCTTTAATTACATGACTGACTATTCGGTGCTGGCAGTTATCAGAAGTCCTCAGATATTCTCCACAAGTACGTTTCTTGAGGGTAAAGTATCCTCATAACAATGGATGACTTCTTCCAGAGTGAGAAATCCAATAGACAAAGCTGGATGCTGCAAAATTAGCTACACAGAATTCTATTGGTTACCCAGGTCAGTCATGATTCAGAAGGAGATGGCAGGTCTGAAGAATGTGAGGATAATTGGCAGGGCACAAGAAGGCATGGCACAAGAATAATGAGGATTATTGGAGTCATCTTGAGACTTCACTTCCTTACTGCATATGCTTATATTTTTCTCTTTTTTTCGTAAAAATAGTTTGGCAAGCCAGTAATCTAAGAGTCATTGTTGAAAGCTCCCTCCCCTTTAATATTTCATATTCACTTTATTGCTTATCCCTGTATTTTTTGCCTCTTCAGTGTGTTTATTTTTATTTTATTTCTCTTCTTATTTTTCTAGAAACAGGGTCTCATTCGGATGCTTAGGCTGGAGGGCAGTTGTGTGATCATTACTCACTGCAGCTTCAGAATCCTGGGCTCAAACTATCCTCCCACTTCAGCCTCCAGAGTAGTTGGAACTGCAGGCACATGCTAACATCCTGGCTAATTTTGTTTTTAAGTTTTTGGTAGAGGTGGAGCCTCAATATGTTGCCCAGGCTGGTCTCGAACTCCTGGCTTCAAACAATCTTCCTGCCTCAACCTCCCAAAATGCTGGGATAACAGGAGTTGAGCTCTCATTCCCAGCCTCAAATGTTTCAAATCTACTAATTTTTGGATGCTACTGATACCACTGTAGCCCAAATATTTCCAATTGCAGGTGTTTTTATTTGCCTGAAGTTATTTATTTGCACCACAGTTAAAGTAAACATTTTAAAACACAAAATGCATTGTGCCATATGCAAACTGAAAATATACATGCATACCTCATTTTTTGGGCCTCATTTTATTGCACTTTACAGATGATGTATTTTTTTGCAAATTGAAAGTTTTTGGCAATCCTGCATTGAAAAAATCTATCAGTGCCGTTTTTCCAACAACATATGCTCACTTCATGTCTTTGTGTCACATTTTGGTAATCCTCACAATATTTTAAACTTTTTCATTATTATTAAATTCATTATGGTGATCTATGATCAGCAATCTTTGATGTTAACACTGTAATTGTTTGGGGGCACGAGGAACTGGGTGCATATACGATGGTAAACTTAACCGACACATGTTGTGTATGTTCTGACTGTTTCACCAACCAGACTCTGCCCTGTCTCTCCCTATCCTAAGGTCTCCTTATTCCCTGAGACACAAAAGTATTGAAATTAGGCCAATTAAAAACTCTACAATGTCCTCTACATGTTCAAGTTAAAAGGAAGAGTCACAAGTCTCTTTAAATCAACAGCTAGAAATGATTAAGCTTAGTGAGATGGCATGTCAAAAGCGAAGATAAGGTGAAAGCTAGGCCTCTGTGCCAAACAGTTGCTTACCCAAGTTGTGAGTGCAAAGGAAAAGTTCTTGAAGGAAATTAAAAGTGCCACTTCAGTGAACACACAGATGGTAAGAAAGTGAAACAGCTGGCCGGGTGTGGTGCCTCATGCTTGTAATCCCAGCACTTTGAGAGGCCAAGGTGGGCGGATCACGAGGTCAGGAGTTCAAGAACAGCCTGGCCAACACAGTGGAACCCTGTCTCTACTGAAAATACAAAAAAAAAAAAAAAATTAGCTCAGCATGGTGGTGGGCACCTGTAATCCCAACTACTTGGGAGGCTGAGGCAGGAGAATCACTTGAACCTGAGAGGCAGAGGTTGCAGTGATCCGATATTCACCACTGCATTCCAGCCCAGGCAACAAAGTGAGACTCTTTCCCCTCCCCCACCCCCTCAAAGTAAGAAAGTGAAACAGCCCTATTGCTGATATGGAGAAAGTTTTGAAGATCTAGATAGATCAAACCAGCCATAGTATTCTTTTAAGCTAAAGCCTAACCCAGAGCAAGGTCCTAACTCTATTCAATTGTATGATGACTGACAAAGACAAGGAAGCTGCAGAGGAAAAGTCTGAAGCTTGCCGTTTGGCTCATGAGGTTTAAGGAAAGAAACCATCTCTGTGACATAAAAATACAAGGTGAAGCAGCAGGTGCTGATGAAGAAGCTGCAGCAAGTTATCCAGAAGACCTAGCTAAGATCATTGATGGAGGTGGCTACATTAAACAAAAGATTTTCAATGTAGATGAAATAGACTTTTATTGGAAGAAGATCCCATCTAGGACTTTTATAGCTAGGGAGGAGAAGTCAAGCCTAGCTTCAAAGGACAGGCTGACTCTGTTGTCAGGGACTAATGCAGCTGGTGACTTTAAGTTGAAGCCAATGCTTATTTGTCATTCTGAAAATCCTAGGGTCCTAATAAATTATGCTAAATTTATTCTGCCTGTCCTCTATAAGAGGAACAATAAAGGCTGGAAGATAAGATATCTCTTTACAGTGCAGTTTACTGAATATTTTAGGCTTATTATTGAGACCTACTGTTCAGAAAAAAATGATTTGTTTCAAAATATTACCTCTCATTGACAATGCTCCTAGTCACCCAAGAGTTCTGGTAAAGATGTACAAGGAGATTAATGTTGGTTTCATGCCTGCTAATACAATATTCAAACTGCAGCCCTTGGATTAAGAAGTAATTTCAAATGTTAAGTCTTATTATTTAAGAAATACATTCCATAAGGCTGTAGCTGCCATGGATGGGGATTCTGCTTATGGATCTGGGCAAAGGAAATTGAAAACTTTCTGGAAATAATTCCCTTTTCTAGATGTCATTAAAAACATTTGTAGTTCATGGGAAGAGGTCAAAATAACACGAAGAGGAGTTTTGAAGAAGTCCATTTCTACCCTCATGAATGACTTTGAGGGATTTCTCCATGATGGTGGAGAAAATATCTGTAGATGTGGTGGAAATAGCAAGGAAATTAGAATTAGAAGTGGATTCTGAAGATGTGACTGAATTGCTGCAATCCTATGATCAAACTTAAACAGCTGAGAAATTGCTTCTCATGGATGAGGAAAGAGAGTGTTTTTTTGAGATGGAATCTACTCCTGGTGAGGATGCTGTGAACACTGTTGAAATGATAACAAAGGATTTAGAATATTACCTAAACTTAGTTGATAAAGCAGAGGCGGGGTTTGGGAAGATTTACTTCAATTTTGAAAGAAGTTCTTCTGTGGATTAAATGCTACGAAACATCATTGCATGCTACAGAGATACCTTCCTTGAAAGAAAGTCAATTGATGTGATAAATTTTATCATTGTTTTATTTTAAGAAATTGCTACAGCCACATTAACCTTCAACAGTCATCACCCTAATCAGTCACTGGCCATCAACATCAAGTCAAAACCTTTCACCATCCAAAAGATGGTGACTTGCTGAAGACTGAGATGATCATTCACAACTTTCAGTAATAAAGTATTTTTAATACAAGTATATACATTTTTCTTTTAGATATAATGATACTACACACAATAAACTATAGTATAGTGTGAACATAGCATTTATATACACTGGGGAACCCACAGATTTATGTTACTTACTGTGCTGGGGAACCCAAAAGTTTTTTTTTTACTCACTTTACTGCAATGTTTGCTTAATTATAGGTTTGGCATTTTCCTGCTTCACCAGCTACAACTCATGTGATATTCCCCTGTCTCTATGTTTTCAGACATACACAGAACCATTTAGGCTTTTTGGTTTGCCATCTTCCTGTGCACATGGAGATTTAGCTCCTTCTAACCGTATTAC